CTGAGTAGAAAACTCTCTTACGCCTCAGTATTCCGCACTGTAATGCATAAATTATATGATGAAAATATACTGATGGCTCCGTGACGCAGTGGCTTAGCAATGAGTTAGAGCGCTAAGGGCCGCAGGTTGGAATCTCGCACGGAACAAGTATTTGTATAGCCTACAAGTAATCGTTCCGGGTCTGGATTTTTCTCTTTGTGTTTATGTTTGTAAACTACCCCCACGATACAGGAGAAAATCCTAGTGTGGAGGTAACGGCTTTTAAAAAAAAATACATGCAAACATGTTTTACTTTAATTTTAGTTTATTCTTTCGCCAGGTACTTTCGAATAACATGGACCATTTGGCAGCGGCTGAGAAAGACGTGGAAATAAAGCGGAAAAATCTTCGGACGGCGAGAGTTGATGAGATTGTAAGGAAAGGTCTAGCTAATTTAACGTTTGACTTAAAATTACTTAAGAGCTTAAACACACAGAAAAAATAAAGAATATTCTTCGGGAACATAGAAGCGTTACTAGTAAGAAAGAAAGAAAGAGAGAGAGAGAGAGAGAGAGATACAGTCAACGAAGAATTCTGAACAATATTCGTTTATATAATATATCATACACTTTGATTATTAATTAATCTTTAATGACCACAAACCTAATCAAAAACATATAACGTATTTGCCGTTACCGTTACCGTTACAGACTATTAAAGGCCACGCATTCCATATTGCATTTAAATAAATTTAAACTTCCTCTTTCTAAATAATATTGTTGCGTATCTAATTTATAAATTCTGCAATATGTCCAGGCAATTACCAATACTAATTTTATGTATGTGTAGCATGTACATTTTGAATTGAATGTGATCATGACAACTTTACTGCCCATAACTCACTCTCTGTTCTACCCAAGGTTAGCTGGTAGAGAATGCCATATAGCATTAAGCTCGCCTTTTGTACAAAATCTTTGGTGCAATAAAGAATAAAATAAATAAATTATTTCATTATTGAGTAGACGTAATTTGATCCCTGGATAAATTCGTCACTTTTAATGTACATTTGCAATCGTTGTCTTTTGTTAGCGAAGAACTGAGCGTTTTTTTTGTGCAAGTATTCCAAAAACGTTACTACTGGATGTTGCCAAGATTCTAACGAATCTGCATACATACCATATACACACGCACACACACACACACACACACACACACACACATATATATATATATATATATATATATATATATATATATATATATATATATATAGTTTTTATCATGTTCCTATAAATGACAGCCGAGGGAGAAAATCGGAAGAAAAATAATAAATATGAACACGTGTTTCCGAATATACACCAATACAATACAATTATAGTGTGGACAAACGGAATAACCCTATGAAACACAGCCGCATTAAATTACTACTTTAGGCTGGTATTCTGTGAGAGCTTGGTCTTCCCCCGGTCGAGCCGACTCATTCGTGTTACAACTATACTACTAATGTCGCTGCAGCATGGCTCTACCACGTAGTATTATCACAAATTATTTATTTAAGTACCACTTACGACTAGCTAAGGATAATGTTTATGATAATGGATAGGAGCTTATGAATTATGGATTACGACTAGAAAGATTATGAAATGTTATCAAAATAAAACACCAATGTATAAAACACAATCAAATTTTATTAAATATCAAATATTGTATTGTCTAACACGATTCCTTTGCTATCATGTTGCACGTCAACATCGTTATGATTATGTTAATACGGTTACAAATACACATTACGAAAGAGACAGTTAAAGTTTAAACGACAGGAGCCGAAGAAAATATAGCTTAGCATATTTCAAAGAAACTATTACAGAAAAACACAGTACGCAAACTCGATAGTATTCAATTACGTGTCACGAAGGAACATGGTTTTAGATAATTATACCCGTAAATGAACTTTTAAAATCAATACATTCATAAGTAATGGGAAATGTAATTACATAAGAGGAACAAAATATATTTTTGGTTTTTTATAAAAAATATTGTTTTTGTATTTTTTAAAGAAATTTCTAGAGGAAGAATGAAGTAGTTTCGAGAGAAGTCGACACAAAGTACACTCATATTATAATTAGATATGTTTTTCACAATACATTGTTTAAATGTGAAACCTACATTTGTATGTATCTACGCGATTACGATCCCAAAACTGTACGCTTGGTTAATAATAAGGGCTTATATCTAAAATATTAAAGTAGGTATATTTTTGTGCGCCAAAGCTCTACATGAGGCTTTGATGATTCAAGCATTGCGAGTTGCAATGTATTTTCATAAAAAAACTTATTTGTTGAGATTGTAGATATAACAAAAATACAGACGAAATCCATTTAACACTTTATAATATCTATCAAGGTAGGAGTATGGTACAGTCTACGACTTATATGAATATGGTTTTTGCTCCGTTCTAATTATATATTAATAATAATATGTACGCTATGTAAGCAGAGGCCTGTATACTCGTATATAAGAATTATGCAGTCAACTGTGCGTGGTGCACCAAACCAATGTTCAGTACATGGTGTAGAAAAAAATAAAATAAAAGATATCTAAGTGTTATAAATATTATATATAGATCAAATGTCAGGGACTTTATCACGTAAACCTTGTTGCAATGACTGGTAGCATGAAATTATCTGAATTTTTATTCAATCTAAATATTCTATTGATTCGAGATAATTATATTTAACACTGATATGTGGCATGATGTGTCACGTCGTATTGGTCGCTACTGACTTTTGTTTACATCACAACATTGGACAGTTGATTCTATGTAAGGAACATAACTTTTAATCTCATATTGGATCTATCAATACTTTACTGAAAGAAAGCAGATTTTGTGCGTAACTTTATTTTAGAAGTAAAAAAAGTATATGTATTTTTGAATGCATTTGATCCTGTTAGGTTTGGAGTCTTACTTTAAATACGCATTTAACTGTCAATCAATATATTTTGTTAAGTATTGAATAACATGTTCGCAGTTCATTTAAGATTTTTTTACAGCGCCAATCCTGTAAAATAACCATGAGAATTTATTTTTAATTTCCAAGTAGGAAGTTATTGTAATGGGTCCTATTTTTCGAAGTCAAGTATAGTTTTGGAAGATGATGTGTGTCTTTTATTCAAATCAGTCCAGTTTTTTTATGAATAAATTATCTGAAAAAATGATACACTAACCGCATTTTACGATTAATATTCTGTTTTACTTTATATTTAAAAAAATTATGGTATTCCTATTTTGCTGTTTCTGCATGCATTCTGCATTCATATTTTTTGTCATTTCCTACTGGGAAGTTTGTAGTGTGGATCTTATTGATTGCAACCATTTTAATTAATCAAAATGTACGATATTAGAGCTACTTTTTACATCTCATCGTATAAAAGACATATTAGGTCTAAAATGACTCTACCGTACATAGCCACAGGCTCGAGACATTATCGATTTTCTAAGCTTATTTATTTCATTTGACAACCTAGTCATCTAGCTAGTCAATGAAATACTTTCCATCCAAAAGCGTGACCAAAAACTTTGCGGCCAAACGCAGGAATATTTCATAAAAACCATCTATATTAGCTATATACGTAGTAAAACATGGAAGCACTCCTGCGGACAGACTGATTGCTGGCTAAAATCTGATATTTTTTTAGATAAGTATATTAAGTACATATTACTCTATTGAATATTGATAAAATTACATTGAGATATAAATCAAACCATATTAGTGTATTATATAATATGCTTTAGTTTTTTAAATCCTATTTTTTATTATATCAAGTGGCTATTTTCAAAAGAAAAAAAACAATATTCTACATAAATTTGCTTTTGAGTTTATGTTAAAGATAGGCTGTATGATCAGTGGCCTTCGCCTGTGTCATTGAGATTTTCGGCAACAAAATTTTATGGATTCATATAACAAATTAACTATGAAACATACAAATACCAAACTTAAAAATTAATGTTGGACATTCTATAAATTATTTACAAACAAAAAATTAAACATAACAATTACTTAAATTAGTACAGTCGATGTTAAACATCGATTAATCTTTGGTAATAGCATCAAATCAACAATCAACAGCCAGGTTCAATATTTCTTGACAAATTGTTAGGATACTGAGTATTCATTAATTTATTTGTAAGGGAAATTTAACTGAAGCTTTATAATATCAAAAGTCATTCTGTGGTCAAAACATATTTAGGTACTTATAGATATCCAAACCTTCTGTAAGGTTTAGGTACATAATAAATTGTAATGAAAAACTGATATAAAATATATAAAACATATTATTACATCCGAATATATTAAATTGGTAATAGGAAAATAGACCAGACATGGAACTGCCATATTTCTTCAAACAGCAAAACTGAGCTTTCAGTGTGTTTAAATAAAACCTTATACTCAGCCAATAGATAGGTAGGTATAATAAGTTATTGGACCTGCTTAAAAGTATTTATGCTTGTTTTTCTCACAACATAAATACCAAAACTACGACACAAACCTTATTAATTTGCATCAAATAAAATGCAGGATAGAGTCTTTACCTTTGACAAAAAAAAAATAAAGATGGACAGAGCGCTGCACAGATTTTAAAAAACAAAACAAAAACCATACTCAACTTCTCGACACGCACTCACTCAATTATCTTTCTCCTTTCTTTCTTTTACAACTGAATGATTTTAGTTATACATGAGTGCATGTTTTTACGATAAATTGTGTGGCTTGGTTTTTGCGTAATTTGAAATGGACGCAACGCCCTGTCTTTTTTTCTTTGTGGGTCTGAGGCCCATACATATGTTATACATAATTTAATGTCTTTGATTATCACCAAGTTTGGCTTTGTAAAGGTACCATAATAAGGTAAAGACAGTTAATAATTTAAAAAATGTAACGAAATAAAAGACAGATGTCAGTAGGTGTTGAAGGTCTTGAAATCAGCGATGACGCAAATCGAGAAAAAGCTGCCACAAAACATTACACTTTTGTGATGGTTTTCATTTTCCTGCTTCTCAAACATCTGTTATGGCAGAAAACAAACATAATATATTAATTATTTTATTGTGAATAAATAAATAGTTTAGATAACTGACATGGTTACATTGGCTTTAGTTTTTAAAGTAAAACTTCTTAACGCACGCTTGACTTGACTTAAAAAGTGTGATCGAGCGAGGCGAACGAGAGTTGAGTGGGGGATATAAGCAAGAGAGAGCAGTGCGCGCGCACATTTTCTTTCTCTCGTAGTCAGATACTCTTCGTAATTTTATTTCGATTTGAACAATTTTATGAATTAATATTTTGTTCAATACATTAAATATTCTACGTTTAAAGTGAATAAAATTGTAAATTCATTTTAAAATTTATGTTTTGTGAATGTTTGTGTGAATTATAATATCATATATATATATATATATATATATATATATATATATATATATATATATATATATATATATATATATATATATATATATATATATATACAGAGATACAGATGGAGCTAAAGAAGTTTTACTTCAGTCGTGTGGTCATAAGCACACTCGTTTTTTATTTATACGTTGAGTATATATAGAAGTCCTGATAATAATATTTTTTTTATTTATTTGAATTTTACACATTGAATCAAACAAATTTTAATAAATAAAAGAAAATGATAAATTAAAACTTATTTTTAATTCATGGAATTACAGTCCAAAAAATTAGACCTACCTATACGATATTCTGTACTTTTCACGTTAAAAGCCTTGTTTATTATTTTTATCTGTGCAGTGCATCATGCAGATTTTTCTTCTTTTTCTTTCATAGTCTCTCTTAAAATCGTGCTGTGTAAGTTAGGTCTATTCAAGAATACGCTACTGCAGACTATGAAAATTTACCTTCTGAGCCCGCGGTATATCATAAAAGCGCCATACAAGCTCAGCACGATTGTCGCAGTCCATACAACAGCCAAAACTGAACTGCTTCCCTCTAGAAAGAAATAAAATTGTTAGGCGTTGTCTTAATTGGCAACGATCGTACGAGCAAACGATGCGATTGCGTCGCATGACGAGATTAAACAGACACATTTCTTTAGTGTGTCCTAATTAAAGCTTGCAAGTTATCGCGCGAGCACAGGAAAAGCTTAATAACGATCATACGACCGTGCAATCAATGCAAAAAATCTCTTTTGAGTGTCGTAATTGGTCACGCGTCATCGCGCGAGTGCAGCTACGCTAGGGACGAGGGGTGGCCCCGGTGAGTGGAACTAGAGACGAGTAGAGACCTAAAAGACCTAAGAGATTAAAAATTGTGCATCTCAGTAAACAGACATTGTCGAAATAGCGCCGTTGCGGTGATGGCGTAGCTGCATCGTGTCATCGCGCGATGCTAGCATCGCACACAGAGGTTTTGTACCTGGTTCAAAAAGTGTTGACATTTTTGAACTAGCTACAAAACCTATAAATATATAAAAATATATATATATATATATATATATATATATATATATATATATATATATATATATATATATATATATATATAGACCGATTATACGTCGAAGGTCGGAAAACACGAAGAGGTCTTGAGACTCACAGACCGAAGTCTCTATACAAAGCGTACGGCCTTTTAAAACAGTCCATAATATTTTAAAGTATCTCCACTAGAGTTCTAAATCATTATTATAAATCGTTATTATCTCTAGAACGTTGCAACACGTTCCGATACTCCTTCAAAATACGTTCACAAGCTGTGCACGCTTCAGAGTAGTAACGTATGTTTGTAAAGCATCAAGTATGCAATTACAACATACAATCAATCAATAATATCGTTAAATATTTGAAAATGGAGTGAGAGATATTATTAAAACATAGTATACTTTATTATTATGTATATATAATATAATAAGGGAGATAAAGAATGAAAAAAAATGTGTCAGTTATATTTTTACGACAGTCGAACCATATTATAACAATATGGCAATATTTTGTACTTGTTCAGTAAGTATCGCCAAACATAGGAATAATATAGTTATTTAAGCGTGTGTGCACACGAGAATTGTCGTTCTCTGATTCAGATTAGTTAAAGAAAAAAGAAAAAAAACGAATGTTGGTGTACCTATATATATACATAGGTACACCAACATTCGTTTTTTTTCTTTTTAATTTATAATAGAGTATATATATATATATATATATATATATATATATATATATACCCCACGCCCCCCCCCCCCCCCCCCTATATATATAAACCAAGTTTTTATTTAATAGGAATCAATCACAAATACAGTTTGTATGTATTACCAATATATCCGTTATGGTAGTTGTCACGTTCGAGCCAGGCACGGCGCGGCTTTTCGTCGCGCTCCACCGACAGCAGGTCCGGGATTTCATCCGGCGATCCGGTACAATTAGCCCACTCGATCGTCACGTATCTGTACGAATTAATTTTGTATTCCTATATTCAATTTCAACTTCTGCGTCAGATATGCTGCGTCAATATTTAATCAATATAGGTATTATGATGTGTTAGAAAAACTTACAAGTATGTAGCGAAGTCCGTTTTTACATTTTATTAAAAGCTTAATATTGAATCAAAATATTTTCACTTTGTAGTCAGTGTTACCAACTCGAATTTTTCCAAATCCGTAAAGTTAAAAAGTAAAGTTACAGCCTATATACGTTCCACTGCTGGGCACAGGCCTCCCCTCATTTCTGAGACGGTTTTAGGCCAAGAATGTGTCCGCCGCGCTGCCCCAATGCGTGTTGGCGAACTTCACATGTCTTCGAAATATTTTTTTTACTTATTCCTCAGACATGCAGGTTTCCTCACGATGTTTTCCTTCACCGCCGAGCACGCGGTAAATCATCACTTAAAATTGCAATTAACAATCTCATCGGTGCCGGCGCGGATCGAACCCGGGTTACTCGCGTTCTGTTATATTTACAGCGAGTGTTAACCATCTGAGCTACCACGGCTCTAAATTCCAAATCCGTAGATTGGTATAATTATTTCCATTGAATTCCGTAGATGCTATCCATAGATCTGCAGACTTAGAATAGATTAATTTTTGGAGAAATTCTTCCCGTCATGTAAAATTCTTATTGTAAGTTCAATTGTAGTATAACATCGAATCAAGCTGCACATATAAGAAAAAAGTACCACAAAAGTGATTAAAATTAATTGCTTTCTTTTATTTAACTAAACGAATTTTATTAAAAACAAATAAAGTAATTAACACTTCAGTGTTTGTGGATGATTATATACTAAAAAAATTACATTACAAACTTGATGCTGGAACATTTTGAAGCAATAATTAGATGTAAAAATAACGGACCATCTTCACTAAAATTAACATGGCTAATTAATTTTAGTGTATATATATAGTAATCTAGTTTCTGTTAGTTCATTTGATAAAGTACATGATTTCGATTGTTAAAATTTTCGATCATCGGTGGTCGGTTAAGTTCACACAAAAGATAAACCGTAACAAATTTTTTGTTATTTTTAAAAATCTAAAAAATACTGTGAAGTACAAAGAAAATGTTAATTAACATAGAAGTCAAATTACGTAGATTTAAAAAAAATTCGTAGTTCCGTAGACGATGAAAACATTCCGTAGATCTACGGAAAAATCCCTGGAGTGGCAACGCTGTTTGTAGTGTTAATTGTGTTGCTACTATTTCTAAAGCCTAAACAGAACGAAATATTATTCAGACAATCTATGGAGTAGGTCTATTGTAAGCTATTATATTCTCTTATAGGAGATTAAGCAGTGGATTTGTGATGGGTTGTAGTGGTAGTGATAATGTGATTTAAGCCCCGCCTATGTAGCGAGTATGTAAATTGTGACGAATTGCTGGCTCTATGGTGGACCATCATAACCTTGTGTTTTGAATGCCGCATTGCTAATAAGCGCGGTTTCTGATCTTTAGATCCTGGGTTTGAAACCCGGGTCATGTCAAAATTACTTATTGGGGTTTTCTGTCAAGAAATTCTCAGTAGCAGCCTGGAGTCAGGATATGGAAGTGTTTCTTCCCCGTGCCTCGGAAAGCAAGTAGTGCCGTAGGTCATGCGCCGGATTTCCCTTCGGTCGTGTCGGATTACCTTTTTTTATAGACTAAGGGTGGCAAACGAGCACACAGTCCACCTGATGGTAAGTGTATGCTGGGGCCCATATACATCTACATTTAACCTCGATTAAGAATCAAAATGCAGATGCGTTGTCACCCCTGAGGCCTAAGATGGAATGCCTCGATTTCAGTAAAACGAGTCTCCAGTTTTCTACACTCACCATACGAAACAGAGCGGCATTAAGCTGCTATATAACGCTGGTGTTCTGTAAAAACGTGGGCCTTCCCCGGTCGAGCTGACCCATTCGTGCTACAAATGTAATATGGCTGCAGCGTGGCTCTACCACGTATAAAACCTAAATTACCTATTAGACAAATATCCAAAATGTAGTAGTAGCTCTTAGAAACAGTTCCGTGCGAGATCGAACTCACGACTCTAAAGCATCGCAACTGAGACTATGAGAGTGAGAGAATAGAACGTACACCTACGCTCGCGCATACACTCAGGCGTTATAATCTTGTCCTGTGTATGTAGCTAGCCTCCGTTGAAAATGACCGCATTAATTAAATTCGGTGTGGAGGTCTACAATAACCTGGAGGAGGTCCGGCAGGGTCTGGTGGGCGGCACGAGCAGCTGGCGCGTGCGTGAGCGCGCTCCACCGCGGCACGGGCCCCACGCGCCCCACGGGCCCGGCGTTCCCAGCTCCGACTCCTTGCACCCGCATTCCACTTTGCACGTCTCGTCCTCCTGAACACAGTGCGACCAGAACATTGACTTACTCAAAATGTAACAAAAACTATTGAAGTAAATTTAGTAAAGAAAAATCCTTAAAATGTTTGTTACCTCTGCATTGGCGCGAGAGTAAAAGTATTGTAAAAGACCCGCTTTACTGCGCCCTCCTTCCTGCCAAGGAGGGTCGCGTCCGTTTACGGCTTAAAGATCTCTCGTCAGATCGGTAAGCCAATCCCAAAAGGTGGTGTTTAGTGGGTTAAAGTCTCCACATAACCACGCAGCCGGCTGCGTGGTATGCTATGAGCATTCTCCACCTCCCTCCGCGTTACCGGAGGGTTGCCCTTATTTGCTTCGGGCGCAAAACATATCCGGTTTACTGATGGCCGTGTCAGTTAGTTCTAACATGAATAACTTTTTTTCACAAAACTGAATTAAGTTGATTTTAATAAGTTATCTACTGTAAACACTAATATCCTTTTAATAACGACCAAAAAATTACACTGCATAAATACCATGCGTATATTTTGTACATCTATACGTCCCTAAAAGCGTAAAATGATGCCAATAAAATTATTCTAAAATGGTCTCCTTTACACCCAAGTGAAATACAGTCATACATTTTACTAGCTGTAATATCAATTTGTATCGTCAAAGGTAGCGTGGAAATCACCAGTGCCCCGTAAAAATAATATATATTCCATTTCACTACATAACCTTCCTTAAATTATTGAAACAACTTTATTTTGTAATTGCCTTAATGTTTGGCAAAGGACGAAGCGATAGGCGTCTAATTAGACAGTCTACATTGATCACGCCAATTATATTGTAGTTCAAATTAGTTTACACATACCATCAGATGGACTGTGTGCCCGTTTGTTACCCCTACTCTTTAAAAAAAGATGAACATCACTAGCTAAACTCTTTTTTTAAATGTTTGCACTGTGTTCCTTACTTGATAATGTAGCGGTGGGGCCGCAATGCGACCGGGCAAGGCTGAAGCGCACCGCCAAGGTTCCAAGTAAATATCAGCCGCGTCTCCTGATCCGCTCAACTCACAGCGCGCGTGGGATACCTTGACACCCCAGCCACAGGCGTTGTCCGCTTCGTCGCCAGTAGAAGTCTGAAATTATTTGAAATCCTTATTCCTTCGAATTCGGGGTAACGAATTTTTAAAACATTATAATTTGTCAGATTACAGTTCCTAATAACGTAATGTCGTGCTTTACAAATGGGAAACATTGGCGTCCTTCTGGGACAGTCGGGTAATTCATTCCAGTGACACCTGATTGAATTACCTTGCTTAACTTAGCGGAAATTACACACAAATTTCCGCCAAGTCAAGCTTAAAATTGATTTTATTATAACTACTAGCTTGCCAGGCAGACGTTGTTCTGTCCTTTTCGACGACAATTTGTCATGTCCTATTAAAAATCCTTAAATTCACAAAAAAAAATTGTGGGTCACGTGGGCAAAAAACTATCCTATCTCTCAAGTTGGACCAAACTGCATACGGTGTGCAATTTTGATTAAAATCGGTTAAGTAGTTAAGGAGTCCTTCGCGGACAAACAACGTGACACGTAATTTATATATATTAAGATAATTTAGTTTTATTTTATTCTCAGACAAAGCGATAACTATTTGGAAAAACAGTTTAAGTTCTGTGTACTTTATTTTGAACACACCGAAAGCAAAAACTGTGAAAAGATACCTGAACATGGCAGCCAAGTGAAGGTCTGGCGACGAGTCGTAAGCAGGGTTCGCGTGGGCAGGGGGCACGCTGCTCAGTTGGTGGACACGCCCGCCCTGGCCACACTGCTGCCGTGAGTCGTTGTCTGCGGAGATTACTTCTTGATTATGAACGATAACATCTATACATATAAATAAAATTGAAGTGTCTGTCTGTAACAACGAAACGACGTGATTAGATGTTTAGATGGTTAGCGCTCGTTGTAAATTACAAAGAACGCGAGCAACCTGGGTTCGATCCCGCCGGCACCAATGAAATTTTTAATTGCAATTTCAAGTGCTGATTTATCACTTGCTCGAAGGTGAAGGGAAACATCGCGAGGAAACATGCATGTATGAAAAATTAGAAAAATATTTCGCAGACATGCGAAGTTCGCCAACACGCATTGGGACAGCGCGGCGGATACTTCCTTGCCCTAGAACCCTCTAAACCTTCGTATATAGGTAACTTTAAGACATTAATAAATATTTTAAAAAATTTGTCTCTCAGTCTATTTGTCTATCTGGGGTCACTTTCGGAATGTTTGAATCGATCGTAACTTTACAAGCAAATAAAGAGCAATGCAGAGTGATCTACTCTGTATATTATCTGAATCAGCGTTGAATTTCTCTATCAGGATTCATCATACGTCTATCCATTAAATTTTGTGCTCGCTATGTTTGTGTGGCACCCATTTCGAACGAAACTTACCAAAAAAAAAGTTGGTTGGTTACGGATCAAATAACCAGCTGTCGCCCAAGTACATTGTATGTAATTGCTCAATTTTCCCTAATAAGTTTTACGACTATAGTCGAACGATTTCTCGAGTTGGTTACGCGGTTGGTGTCTATAATATACTCCCCGTCTTTTCTGATTTTAGCATGCTAATTAAAAACTGTTTCCAGTGAACCAGCAGACTTATCAAAAGTAGTAGTCCAAAGTTCATTAAATTATCGGAGATTTAAACCTACTTTATTTTCAAATTTATCAGTGAAGTTCAGTTTTTACCATCATTTGTAACTTGTTTTGACACTGGCAGTTGACGAAAATGGCGTGAGATATCAATTGCATTGTCTGGTTTTTTAGGATTAGTCTAATAAATTACCACACACAAGTACTTTATTTCAGAGTGAATTCGGAGTGACACTTATCGTGCCCTCTACTGGAACAGGTGAAATTATATCTGTCGAACCAGCTAGCATCTAACGAAATCCAACAACAGTAGCACTGTCTCGAATTCTACCAAGAGTTAAAACATTTCTAAATATAATAATAGACTGAGGTGATAGGATCTCCTGTAGCCCATCTGCCAGCAAGCTTTTTAATAAGTTAGCAATTAGAAAGAAAACTTTGAAGGCGTGGTGGCCTTCGCAAAAGATACACGTTGTCTGGTACTACGATTATCAATCTGAATCTGAATCATATTCTGAAGAGATCCATGTCCAGTTGTAGACTATTACGTGCGGATGATTATGAAAAAGAAAATAATGAAATATGTGGATATTGTGATATAGTTGTTCATTATTATAATATCAAAGTAATACCTTGTCCGGCGCATGTGACGCGCTACTGTCGCTTCACCGCAAGTGCATGCGGAGGTGTCCCACGCGCCCCACTCGCTCAACTCACAGTCCACGCCGCACGGAACATAGCACCACGACTCGCGGGCTTCTGTTGCTGTTACGTTCTGTCCACATAATATAAACTTTCATTTCCAAATATATACACTACGCATGATACACATGTTATATAGAAACAAGGCTCAGGCAACCGAGAATTGGCGATATATTCTTTTTAAAGTAGCCCGATAATCAGCTCACTAACTACACTAACATTTGCACGGTTTCGCTAAAAGAGATTATTTTAAAATCAAATAAGTTAAAGTATAATCTAAAGAACTGTATTTCAGTAGAGCGTCCTCCTTTCAACTTTTTCTTCCCACTTGTATTTAAAATAATTTTAGCCATAAAACATTGTTGGGTTATAAGTAAAACGCGAAATACTGAATTCAATTCGGTTAAAATCACACATAAAAAGGAATACGAAGGATTTATTACAAAAATGTCAATAAGACAGAGGGTTATTGCGTCTGGCTCCAGTTTTGAGTACAGGCGCATTACTAAATGCTGTTGCTTCTTACCTATTGAGATAAACAGTATGATAGTATGTAACTATGTTATAATATGTACTCTTTAAAAATCGTTGTAAGAGACAAAACAGATTGGAACTAACAGGACAGAATGAGTCATTCACGAATACTCCGTCACTCCGTAAGCACCGCACAGCCCTCCTCTTCGTCCCTTCGCCACACGGAGAGCCTCCTAAAAGATAGAAAAAAAGATACTTCTTTATTCTGAAAAATTATTTTAGCGTCGTTCAATATCCTTATCATTTTGATATGATAAGGATATTGAACGACGAGTGAATGCAGGAAATAAAGTAAATGGGGCTCTACACTCTATTGTGAAAAGTCAGAATGTGTCAAAAAAGGCACGTATGGCAATTCACAGTGCTGTATTAGTCCCTACTTTAACGTATGGTAGTGAAAGTTGGGTGTGGCAGAAGAAGCACGAGAGTAGAATAAATGCAGTAGAAATGCCGTCACTAAGGAATATGTTAGGGCTGAATCTGAGTGACAGGTGAGAAACTGTGTGATAAAAGAAGAGTGTGGTTTGCAATATGATGCAGTGACCAGGATTAAGAAAGGAATGCTTCGGTGGTTTGGTCATGTAGAAAGAATGAATGCGGAAAGACTGACAAAGCAAATATATGTTGCAGAAGTGAATGGAAGAGTCGGAAAGGGACGTCCTAGGCGGAAGTTTGTCGACCAAATTGGCGATATACTAAAAATGGGCCAAATTAAGAGTACCCTTAACCGACGAGCATGTATGCGTAGGTATATGGATGTGGAAGAGGCGAGAAAAGTATGTCAGGATCGTGCTAAATGGAAGTCTGTAGTCTCTGCCTACCCCTCTGGGTGACAGGCGTGAGTATTTATGTATGTATTTTAGCACAAAATCAACGTTAAAAAGGAATTTGTGTTTTACCCGACTGCCTCAGAAGGTGGTTAATCTTTTTCGAGTGTATGTATGTATGTCAATTTTTTTGGCACGCTGTATGTTCGAAACGGTTTGATGGATTTTAACATATGAGGTGTGGTTAGATTCCTCATAATTGTGGAAGTGACAAAGGCATATATATATATATATATATATATATATATATATATATATATATATATATATTGTAGTGTTGGGACTATGTATGAAATTAAACTCACTAATGCAGTTTAATAACTCCCTCTTTATTGATTTGGAGGAGACTTATATAAAGTAATTGTGACGTAGGTACATAGGTAGGGGTTAAGGTTTGTGTTATATTATTACAGTTATATTGCTTTGTCATAGTACCTATGATTAAAATCGATTAAGTAGTTTAGGAGTCCTTCGCAGACAAACAACGTGACACGTATAATTTATATATATATATATATTAAGAAGATATATATAATATTTAAAATACTATTTTAACCATCTACCTTGTTGACGAGAAATAATAATTGTTATCAAATATATTTTTGTATTTATGGATGTATACCTAGGGGCTGGCAGTCGTCCCAAGGCGCAACATGCCAGGAGTATGTATGGGGGGCGCATGGCTCCGCGCCGACCAAGTGCGGGCACGGCGCACCACCGTCGTCAGCAGGCCGCAGTACCACTCGAGTCCGGTCGCGACGACCTCCCCACTTCGTCTGAAATATAGTACGTTACAGATTACAGTCGTTCGTTAGAGATATTGTTACATACAATATCATTGCTGCCGGCGGATATTTAACCAGATTTGCTCGTGTAATGTGAAGTTTACGGAAAGCGTATAGCCCATGAGCTACCATAGTTCGGTAATATAATGGTAATATGGTGGTATCATGATTGGAAGGGTTTTCAGTTAATGAACAAATTTTTTAGATTGCGCTTTGGACTTTTACGTGCTGATAAGGAATTAATTAACAGTCAACATAGGAAATTCTTTGGCAACATTGATTAATGGGTAAGATTTTATTATGAAAAGTTTGTCTATGGCTTCCACTTATTGTCATTATATCCTTTTGTACAATTTTTTTCTGTACTTATAACACATATCTTGCGCTAACCTTTTAAGTCTAACCTCGCTCACATCGTGTATTACTGTTCAAATATGAAAGTATTAAAGTAAAGTTATAGTTTCCTTATCAACGATATAACTACTATCGTTTGCGTAGTCTTACAGGAGGAGGAGCAGTCAATACATTTGAAATGCACAAAATTTTACTATGTCACTGTCATAACCATAGAATACTATAATACACAATAGCATGGCTGTCAACCTTATTTTGTATTGAGGTTCGGCGTCGCCGGGAGCACACATACAAGCAATAACGTCGTATTATCACTACTACAAACCTGATTCGCTGTATTGACAGACGGATTTTAATACACATTTATTTGTAAATAGCGTGCAATTTGGCATTTTCCAAATAATTTGCATGCGAAATTTGGAAACGATTGTAACGTCAAATCACATCTCGTGTTGACATCTATACGTGTGAATTGACGTCTTGTGGCGTTTAAGTGGCTACACGGGCTCCGCCCACACCCCCGTTCAAAATCAGTAACAACGTGTATGTACCTGCTCGCAAGGGCTCCACTCGGACCAGGCGCTGACCACGCAGTCGGCGGGGCAGGGCGCCCGGCACGTGGCTTCTTTAGCAGGCGGTTGGCCTGCCCCGCGCACAACGCACTCCGTGTCCTCCAGTTTCATGCTATTTGAGTCCCGGCAACTGCCACAGTTTTACAATATTTCATCCGTTTTACAAAACAAAACCCCAACTATAAGCAATTTACAATATTAGTTCAATCATAATATCCTAATATATACCTTTAATTAAATCAGATCTATACTATGAGATAAGTTTAAGTACATTTTATAAGTACAATGTTCATGGGCAACGGTGACCACTGATCATCAGGTGAGCTGCTTGTTCGTTTGTCTCCTCCATCTCATCCATCTCCATACAAATAAACAATAGTTCTATAAAGTGGTAAAGCAACGCCGCAGCGTATATGTCTGCGGCACGAATGATTCTACTCGAAGGAGAAAGAGCACGCTCGCACAGAAAACTAGCATGAAATAGCAGCATAACGCTGTTGTGTTTCATATGGCGAGAGAGGATAACGGATGACCCTGGTGGACCCTGAACCCCCTACTGGTGATGAGGCTTAGATTTTAGTCCTTAGGGATGCTATCGCATCTGCATTTTGATTAGATTAATTAGACAGGATAACTTAATTGAGAATAGATGCATTTGTCTACGAGATGTAGCATCCACTTATCATCAGTTGGACTGTATGCATTTTTGTCGATATCTTTTTATAGAAGTAAAAGATACTTCTATACAAAATATCAAAAATTAATATCTTTATAATATCCTGCTTTTTGTTTGGTTTTTTATAGGATAGGGTGACAAACGAGCACGCAGTCCACCTGATGGTAAGTGGTTGTTGTGGCCCATCGACATCTACATCTATCCTCGATTACAAATCAAAATGCACATGCGTTGTAACCCGTGAGAACTAAGATGGAATGCCTCGTTTCCAGTAAAAAAGGGTCTCCGGTTCTCTACAGTCATTATATGAAACACAACAGCATTAAGCTACTATTTTACGGTGGTATTCTGTGAGAGCGTGGTCCTTTCCCGGTCGAGCCGACCCATTCGTGCTACAACTATACTACTAATATAACTGCAGCATCGCTCTACCACGTATAAAAATTATGACGGAAGAACTGTCAAAATTTACGAAACGTTTATATTTTTACAACAGCTACGTTACTACTCACACAACAGTTCGGTTGATGATGGCCCTGCCGCACAGAGCGTGTTGCGGTGTGCAAATAGACCACTCCCCTACGACCCACATCGGTTCCGGCACGAGGCAGGTGGCGCGCTGAAGCGTGGCGCCGCATTCCCGACCGCCGGCTGAGCCTTCTTCTATCACCTCCCTAGACAAGCATTTAGAGTAAATAAATGTAATGTAAAAATTGAATATTTGTTTGTTCGTATAGCCTTTCTTATACCATTCATCCGAACCACTACAATCACGATACCATTATTATGAAACTTTGGTAAGTTGCTGTGTACACGCCCGCGAAGGTCCCACAAGAAGCAGTTGCTAGTTGCAACAGCTAGTAAATTATAAAAAAAAGGTTTAAATTGTACAGTTGGTGGTGCCGTAAAAGAATCCATCATTATCCATTTTGCTTTTTATCATACAGATAGGGTTTTTAATTCTAGGAAATCTCAAAAAGATATCATGACCATATAAATAGTGGTAAAATAACGTGTACAAGAGTAAAAGTAGACTAATATTTATATATAGTCCGATTAGGCACAGACGACATCATACATTTGACCTTAGAGTATATACAAGGATAGCTTGCTTATGTATACTCTAAGATGAACGTTATCAAGGAATGTTTTATTTAATTTCATTTAATATATTTGTAGTAAATAAAGCACTCGCATACACACACATATATCACTCGTTCACGATACTTCAACTATGCCAATTATCACACTCCTCCATGCGAGTAATCTGCTTTAAAAGAGGCACAAAGTTTTGTTCACGTAGTAATACGAGTATGTAGATTGCGAACTTCATTATCTACCATAATAACATGTCTTTAACTTAAATGTGATTGTAGTTACCTGGTTCGGAATCTGAAGGCGGTGCGCGACCCGGGCTCTGCGGAGCAGGCGGCCCAGGGAGCCCAGGGTCCGGCGGCACAGTCGCGCGCGCACCGCACGCTGCACGCGCCGCGCACCAGCGCCGGGAACTCCTCGTCGTACGCGAACCCGTCCGTCGATGCTTCGCGCACGCGCCGCGGACCTGCAAAGAGCCCATTCAATAAATTTATAAGGTCCACGCCTTTTCTCTGGGCCGGCCTGAAATTGTTTTTCCGAGATACAGTAGCTACTTTTTTTATAGAATAGGGTGACAAACGAGCACACAGTCCACCTGATGGTAAGTGGTTGCTGCGGCCCATAGACATCTACATCTATCCTCCATTAAAAATCAAAATGCAGATGCGTTGTCACCCGTGTGGACTGAGATGGAATGCCTCGTTTCCAGTAAAAAGGGTCTCCGGTTCTCTACAATCACCATACGAAATACAGCAGCATTAAGCTACTATGTCACGCTGGTATTCTGTGAGAGCGTGGTCTTTCCCCGGTCGAGCCGACCCATTCGTGCTACAACTATACTACTAATATAACTTTAAATGCGCTCCTAAGATTGCTAGGGAAAGAGTTTATTTTGCTTAGATCAATAATTTCTTATATTTACGCGAACACAACACATTGATTAAAACTATTTTTACGTATTTCATTGTTTGAATTTTATTTCCCGACGTTTTGGGTGCTTTCCAGCACGCATGGTTACGGGGGACTGAGGTGACAGACGTCCCGATGTCTGTGTTACCCGGAGTACCTTTAGCTTTTTAGTTATTATTTAGTTATTATTTATGGTCCGACCTACGCAGAATGAACTTAATGTGTGGTTTAGTTTTAATTTTATTAATTATAGGGTCCCAAACAGGTGGTAGTACCCAGCCTCCTTACCTATTGAAATTAGGATGTTTTATTTTAAATTCAATAGCGTTCACGTTTCATCCTTGGTAGGAATCAATCTTCTTTCGCAAGAATTTGTGGTCTATCAAATCTGATGTAATGGTTGGGACCGTCTAGGATATGATAAACATTCCGGGAAGTCTACAGTTTGTGATCATATCCTAGACGGCCCCAACCATTACATTATATTTGATAGACCTAAAACCCTCGCGAAAGAACATCGGGTGCTGGAAAGCACCCGAAACGTCGGGAATTAAAAATCAAACAAATAAACGCGATAAAATCCGTAAAAGTAGTTTTAATCAATTGTTTAGATCAATTAAATAATTAAATGAAAATTATTTTTGATATGAATTTTATGGAATAATTTTAAATTTTTCAATAAAATCTTTAATGCACATCATCATAACCACTGTACTTAAACTACTTGTTCCACTTACACTTCACCAATGAACCATATAAAATAGAAAATAAAATCGAATCACAATTGACAATTACGATAATCGAGTATTTACGTAATAATATTATAATATAATAGCCGGCTGCGATTCGCATCTCTAGTCTTAATTATCGCCCGCTATCCCCGCTTTCTGTCACCATTTTGTTCCTAAAAACTGTATCTGCGCAGCCATTCGCGATTAACTTCAGTTCGGCCAAGGTAGAGCGCGTGGACTTTACTATTTATCAGAAGAGAGCTGATAAGCTCAAACTTAGGCTGTGCAATAAAAAGGTACTCTGCGCTTCCTTTCACGCGCTCCATACTGCCGGACACAATTCCACCCTAATCCAGTCCTGCCTAGATGGATCTGTGGTATCTCTCTCTGATAGCGGTGTCTACGTTGAGACTGGCCGCCGTGACCAAAATTGGGTCTAAAGATATGGTAAATAAATGTTGCGGCCCGTATTTAACCGTATTAAAACGTCTTTATATTAATGTATTTAACCGTATTAAAACCGTATTTAATCACCTATCCATGATTATGAATCAAAATGCAGATGATTAAGATGAAACGCCTCGTTTCCAGTAAAAAGGATCTCCTTTTCTCTACACTCATCATATACGGCAGTAATAAGCTGTTATATTACACTAGTATTTTGCGAGAGCGTGGTCGTTGTCCATCCGAGCACACTTATTCGTGCTACAACGATAACATATCCGCAACATGGCTCTACCACGTTGAAGTACCACATTATGAGCATATGTTCTACATTTTAAGAGCATTTTACTCTATTCACATTTAGCAGACTTTTCATGTATTTTACATACGAGTTCATTTACTTTTTTATGTATTCTTTGATATTATAATAAGCCACAATTTAAGAAAAATTTGTACAATTTTTCTTTAATAAAACATTTAAAATTGCTTATTGACAAATTTTGTACATTTTCTGGGATTTTGTTGTAAAAGCGCATACATTGCCCCATAAATGAATTATTAATTCTGTGGAGTCTAATAAATGGTATTATAAGCTTATGTTTGTCCTATTATAGTATTTAAAGTATGAACATCTTTATTCTTATAAAAAGCTATTTGTGTTTTTATGTACATACAATACATTTTCATATATATATATATATTGCGATGCCAAAGTCAATATATTTATTTCTTTAAAATTTTCTCTAAAGTACTCTTTATAATTTAAGTTATGTTTTAAGCATATATCTTGCTTATTCATACTCTAAGAGCTGGCTTTACACAACTGTGCTAGTAGGAATTTGCTTCATGAAAAGTGGTAGGTTGTGGTAGCATTATCGTACGGTTTTGTTGCTTGCTGAAAGGTTAATTTCCGATTAAGTTCAAAATATAAAATATTTACTTACCAGTTAGAGGATGATATTTTTCACAAACATCCATAGGCACATCTCGACCTTTGACCATACAGCGGGCAGCCCTCAGTGTACGACCTTCTCCACACTCCATTCTAAAATGTGAAAGATTTATAGTGGCATTTGATTTTTTTATTTAAAGCAATACTAATATAACATTATTAACGTTTCCGTCAACTGATACTACTCCAATTTTAATTGTTACGAATGTTCGAAGTAAAACTGAAGTGCTAGTACCAGGATTATTTTACGACTATGGTTGAATGGTGGATTTCAACTCTCGACTTTTAAGTTTGCGGTCCGTACCTTAACTATCGACTTCTGTAAATTTTTATGTTTATGTTACTCATTACTGATTATTATAACATTAAAGACTAAATATGCTAAAAAAATATTTTAAACTCACCCTGGAGATAAAATGCAATCCGAATCAGCCGGCAGTAATTCCAAAGAAACGCTCTTGCACACACAGTTGGGAACGTCTGGGTCAGAGGCGTCTAGGTACCTGAAAAAACTTGTTTGATAAATTTTCTAGGTCTCTTATTTCCTATACAAGTTTGAGATATTGATTCAAGCCATCAGTCAATAGATTTAGTCTATAATACACGAATTTTTACGATTGCATTTTTCTGTATTTTTTTTACAAGATGATGTTTTCCTACATAGGGGTGTTTTTCTGTGAACCATAAAATTCTAATATTTCATTGATTTAATGAAGTAACAACTTTAGTTTCAGATAACTTTTTTGAAGTATAATATCATATTTATTATATTGAAAAAACAAAAAACAAATTAAGAACTCTTCAAAGAAAAATCAGCAGTAAATTCTGGCGTATTATTTTATCCTCTTGTTTTTTTTATTTCATTACATGATAATCGAATGGAATTAGTAGTAGTCTTGATTTACTTGTTTCTTTCGCCAATTAGAAACCACTTTACTGATTCAATGGGTACTGAAAGATATTCAGTATTATAACAGTCTTGGCGGCATTTCATCTTAGTCCGGAGATGCCAAAGAATATGTATCCCCCTTGGTTTGAAGTTTATTGCAGGCAATCACGGTCTGTTTTTACTTTAATGGTATATAGGTTTTTGTTTTGCTGTTAACACAAATATCTATTTATATACTACTAGCTTGCTCGGCAGATACGTTGTTCTGCCCTTTTCGACGACAATTAATCATGTCCTATTAAAAATCCTTAAATTCTCAAAAAAAAAAAATTGTGGGCAAGAAAACTGTCCTACCTCTCAAGTTGGACCAAACTGCACACGGTGTGCAATTTGATTAAAATCAGTTAAGTAGTTTAGGAGTCCATCGCAGACAAACAACGTGACACGTAATTTATATGTATTAAGATATTTACAGAAATTTACGTGTAAAAAACTGGGTTATAAGCGCTAATTTTGTATAGATTTCAAAGGTTAGGAAAAACTTGTTACTCATGTATTTTCTTTGAAAAATATTTACAAATTCATTATACCACATCAGTGTAAAACATTATTTGCTTTGAGACCATTCTTTCCGTTCATAGTGTTGCTGTACAAAAATAACAAGTAGTGACGTATGTTACGTGTATTACTACTATCTGTATACACGTATACGTTATACACGTATTATCACTACTACTACTTACTTCAATGGATCCGCGCAGATTACATCACAGGTGAGTGGCTCGATACGATCACATGTAACAGTGCAAGCGGCTACACTAGGCAGCACAAGTTGACCGGCACACGCGCCAGCTTCCACACGGTGAGAGTCCGAACCGCACCAGATGCCTAAAATATAGTACATTAAAACTTTAGTTCTAATTGTATAACATTAATTGACTATAAGTGCGGAAAGAATAAAAGAGGTAAGTCACTTAAACACATAACCGTAGATGTGCATATATATTTAAGTATAATTTTCACTAGTCTATAATATCCATCCACTGGACACGACGTGTCTTTCCTACTATAGAAAGGTTTTGTCATAATCACCAAGCTTTTAAAGGGAAGTCTAGCGGTCACAGTATCAGGTGTCTGCACATTTCCTGTAATCTTTTTCACTGATCTGGGTGTTTTACATTTAGCATAGGAGATGGTTACCCCGCCATTTATCAAAGAATCTCTTTGGCATTTCCTATAGTACTTTGATACGTGGTAGATGTTGTTGCTATATTATGGCTGTAACACGAATGGGTCGGCTTGACCGAGAAAGGAACACGCTCTTACGGAATACCTGTGTGTTTCGTATCGTGAGTGTATAACCTTTCTACTGTAAACGAGACATTTCATGTTAGTCTTCTGGGACGACAATGCATCTGTATTTTTAATCATAGTCGAGGATAGAGGATAGATGTCCAGGGGCCGCAGAACCCCTTATTTTTAGATGGACTTTTTACTCGTTTGTCACCCATATTATATAAAAAAGTCGCCTTTCATGGGAAGAAATTGGATGATTGACATTTATGCCACCACCATAGAGCATACGGTACATTTGATTCATTTATTTTATCGGAAGCAAACTTTTAACAGCAGAAGTTGAAGCATGGAAAAGACCAGCGACGATAAGATGAGAATCCTCCTACACACAAAAGGTTAATATATTGATTTTGCGAAAAGTCAACGCAACATTTGACGAATTGGTTGTTTTGTTAATAAAGTTTCATTTCAACTTATTGTAACAAAAAAAAATTCTAATCGCAAACACATTTATTGGATTATTTTAACATTTCGATACTTATAATTACATTCCGTTTGATAAGTAAACGAATTTTCTATTTCTCATCTAACGGACGACTGAGGGAGTGTCAAAATGAAAGTGATGCAATGACTTCATAGTACGCAAATTACGAGATAGCCATACCGAGCAAGCACTCGGAAAAAGACTAAGTAAGCGCCAAACAACATTGTTATTTATTTTGACAAAAATTCGTTATGGATAAAAAAAACTGGTTTGTGAGAACTTAGATATGATTATTTACTATGCCTTAAAAATAACTCCATGAAATTATTCGTAAAAATATTGTGGTGTCATCGAGAAATGTAAATAATAAGAGCCTACTTTGCAATTTTTTTCAATCAAGAAAATTACATGATATCGTGTTTTCCTTTTGTGCAATCCAAGGTCATAGAGTCAAAAATCATTGGTTTGTAGTCTATAAAACTTAAAAAAATATGTTAAATAGAAAAACCACCAAATTTTCGAGGTATCACCTTAACTCGCGTTTCGTGTATGCCTGTGCGGGTCGAAATTAGTAATTGATTTTAAACTTTTCGATGAGCGAGAGACATGACATTTTGAAAATAGCTCAGAGTTTAATAATTTAGTTTAGTGGTTACTTATTCCACCACGTTTTTTATTAACTCGCTGTCGTGTATGCCTGTGCGGGTCGAATTTAGTAATTGATTTTAAACTTTTCGATGAGCGAGAGACATGACATTTTGAAAATAGCTCAGAGTTTAATAATTAAGTTTAGTGGTTACTTATTCCACCACGTTTTTTATTAACTCGCTGTCGTGTATGCCTGTGCGGGTCGAAATTAGTAATTGATTTTAAACTTTTCGATGAGCGAGAGACATGACATTTTGAAAATAGCTCAGAGTTTAATAATTAAGTTTAGTGGTTACTTATTCCACCACGTTTTTTATTAACTCGCTGTCGTGTATGCCTGTGCGGGTCGAAATTAGTAATTGATTTTAAACTTTTCGATGAGCGTGAGACATGACATTTTGAAAATATCTCAGAGTTTAATAATTTAGTTTAGTGGTTACTTATTCCACCACGTTTTTTATTAACTCGCTGTCGTGTATGCCTGTGCGGGTCGAAATTAGTAATTGATTTTAAACTTTTCGATGAGCGAGAGACATGACATTTTGAAAATAGCTCAGAGTTTAATAATTAAGTTTAGTGGTTACTTATTCCACCACGTTTTTTATTAACTCGCTGTCGTGTATGCCTGTGCGGGTCGAAATTAGTAATTGATTTTAAACTTTTCGATGAGCGAGAGACATGACATTTTGAAAATAGCTCAGAGTTTAATAATTAAGTTTAGTGGTTACTTATTCCACCACGTTTTTTATTAACTCGCTGTCGTGTATGCCTGTGCGGGTCGAAATTAGTAATTGATTTTAAACTTTTCGATGAGCGTGAGACATGACATTTTGAAAATAGCTCAGAGTTTAATAATTAAGTTTAGTGGTTACTTATTCCACCACGTTTTTTATTAACTCGCTGTCGTGAATGCCGGTGCGGGTCGAATTTAGTAATTGATTTTAAACTTTTCGATGAGCGAGAGATATGACATTTTGAAAATTACTCAGAGTTTAATAATTTAATTTAGTGGTTATTTATTCCACCACGATTTTTATTAACTCGCTGTCGTGTATGCCTGTGCGGGTCGAAATTAGTAATTGATTTTAAACTTTTCGATGAGCGAGAGACATGACATTTTGAAAATTACTCAGAGTTTAATAATTTAATTTAGTGGTTATTTATTCCACCACGATTTTTATTAACTCGCTGTCGTGAATGCCGGTGCGGGTTCGAATTTAGTGATTGATTTTAAACTATCTTCTCGATGAGCGTGAGAGATGAAATTTTGAAAATAGCTCAGAGTTTAATAATTTAGTTTAGTGGTTACTTATTGCACCACGTTTTTTATTAACTCGCTGTCGTGAATGCCGGTGCGGGTCGAATTTAGTAATTGATTTTAAACTATCTTCTCGATGAGCGTGAGACATGACATTTTGAAAATAGCTCAGAGTTTAATAATTTAGTTTAGTGGTTACTTATTCCACCACGTTTTTTATTAACTCGCTTTCGTGTATGCCTGTGCGGGTCGAATTTAGTAATTGATTTTAAACTATCTTCTCGATGAGCGTGAGACATGACATTTTGAAAATAGCTCAGAGTTTAATAATTTAGTTTAGTGGTTACTTATTCCACCACGTTTTTTATTAACTCGCTGTCGTGAATGCCGGTGCGGGTCGAATTTAGTAATTGATTTTAAACTATCTTCTCGATGAGCGTGAGACATGACATTTTGAAAATAGCTCAGAGTTTAATAATTTAGTTTAGTGGTTACTTATTCCACCACGTTTTTTATTAACTCGCTGTCGTGTATGCCTGTGCGGGTCGAATTTAGTAATTGATTTTAAACTATCTTCTCGATGAGCGTGAGAGATGACATTTTGAACATAGCTCAGAATTTAATTTAGTTTAGTGGTTACTACTTATTTTACCACGTTTTTTATTAACTAGCTTTCGTATATGCCCGAGTAATTGATTTTAAGCTATCCCCTCGATGAGCAAAAGACTTGACATTTTGATTATACCTCAAGATTGGATGACTATGTAAGAATTTGGATTACTTGGTATATTAGAAAATTACTTCAATAATTATTTAATATAAATTAATCTTTCTTAGAAGCTTACTTCTAACTCTATATCCGAGTCCGCATCTCTGTCCAGGCGGCAGGCGGCACGTGCTCCACTCGCCCGCGATCCAGGCAGCGTCCCGCGAGCGACACGACGGCGGCACGGGACAGTCCCGCGTCTCCTGCACTGGTCCGCAGTTCGGACCGCCGTGGACCGTGCGGACGCGGACTTGTTTCCCTGGGTCTTAAAGTATTTTTTATGATTGAAGATATTTATTCTCAAAAGAAATATACATTCTCACTTAATGAGAAGTTGCAATGTTCAAGTTAATATAAGTAGTATTTTGTTAGTCACATAAATTGTTTTAATGACCCATTACAGTCTTACCTACTTTTAAATTCTCGATGAATTCTTTTTCAAATACCTACTTCGGTACTCCCCAGTGACACAGTAATTTTATAGATAAAATTACCGTGCCAGTTACCATGTGCGCTTTTAAACACTCGAAAATGAGTATCGATATTATGTAATTTAAAATTAATCGTGATAAAATACGCAAAATATTTCATTACTAGATGCCCCCCGTGACTTCATCCGTGTGGAATTTATTACGATTGAATTTCAAAGGCTTCAATTTTTTTGTGCGGAATACTAATAATTTTTTTTAAAAATAAGGTTATAAGCTATAAGCTGTCTGCCAGTTAGTTCCGTTAAAATCGGTCCAAATATTTTGGAGATTAGCCGGAATTAAAAAAAAAATTATATTCTTATATAATTAAGTATATGTATATGTTTTGATATACATTTAGTGAAATGCTGTTATTTCGAATTCTTCTTATAATTTTATTTATTTGTGTAGATTTATTAGCATCCGCCCCGGCTTTGTCTAGATCTATAAGGTAATTTGGCATCATTTGGGTTGAAGATAATCATCATCGAAAACCATTTATGTTATCAATTTTCCAATTCCTCTAAAGAAAAGACTATAAATATTTCGGATAAAATATAATCTAGATCACTCCTGACATTGGTCTAAACCTGACAGAATGAAAAAAAAAAGTTATTCGTGTGGCACTAGCTGCTAATAACTCTCTTAGCTCAATAAAATGAAGTTATTTCGATACTACATATAGAATTCAATTTTATTTATATGTTCAATTTTTTATATACAGGTTGTTAGTGTAAACACCGTTATCCTTGAAACCAGTGGTTTGGTTTCACTTATAGAACGTAAATTCAATGAAAAATAACAACATTTTTTTTAGTAACATCTCAATTTTTCCTTAATTTTTCAATTTTTGCCTGTCCTAAGCCAGAATGAAAGTATGAAGGAAAAGTTACATCATAGGTCATGTGTACCTATTGTTTTTATTGGAATGTTATGTAGGTAGGTTGCACGGGCGGTGATCTTTACAGTGATTACGTCACTCAGGCGCATAGGAAACCAAACCATTGGTTTCAAGGATAACGGTGTTTACACTAACAGCCTGTACATTTTAGTAGGGTCGTTTTGTAATTCAGGAAAAAACTGAAACAATAAATGACAAACATACGAGTATTTTAACAAATATACTATACTACTACCTGGTTTATTAGCCTATGTATTGATTATTAAGCTTTGGGCTGGAGATTCGAAACTCAAGCAAACAATATCACATTTTCTGATACTGAAATTAATTTATATAGAATACAAGAAAATCACAAGTTAGTGCTCCTGTGATTGCTAGTACTTCACTTGTTTGTATACTAACTGCATGTTGCTTATTAACATATTCTTCTATAATGAAAAACATTGGGTGCTAATGTTACCGTTGATAATATTGATAATCAAAGGTTTTAACAATCATTGTTGCATCATTTTAAACAAACAAATAAATTAAAAGCTTTATATAGGTTTAAGAATGAAATCATTACCACATGTGTTGGGGCATGGCGACCAAGGCATCCAAGCTTCAACCCTGCATCCTCTTCGACATCTTAAAGTACAAGACCGACGAGATGGAGGACGGCGTAGTGGAGAACATCTGCAAGAAATTAATAATTAAAAATTAAAGTTATATTAAAAGTTTTATACAAACATCCCAATGTTGAGTACAGGCTTCACCTCATTTCTAACAGTAGTATTGTAAAGCATTTAGTCCGCCACGTTTCTTAAATACGCGTTAGCAGACTTCGCATATCTTTGAAATATTTGGCGTTCGTTTTCACTACTGAGCTGTGTTCAGTTGGTACTTAAAATTGATTGATAAAATTTACAATTTCCAATTTTATTGATGCCGGTAAGAAACCAACTCTGGTTGCTTGCGTATTGTGAAATTTACAGCGAGCGTAGACCCCGAACATCGGTATAGAAATTTAATGGATTAACAAAGTTCGGACAAATTGTTTTGTTATGTGGAAATAAACGAATAAAGTCGATAATCTTTATTAATACAATATTTCATTGAATAACTAAAATACAGGTATTATAATCTAGTTTGGGTGCTATTGATCGCTTCAAATGATATACATGTAATAATTTACTTATTATCAATGAAGATTATTAATATTTGGAGATATTTTGATAGTATTTTCGTCTGTTTGGGATTACCAATAAATATATTATTTTGTCGCACAAGCGATAACTGCTGGAGTAGACGTATTAAGGAGTTTTGATTTTGGAGGTGTATAATATACAGATCTGTTACGGTGAGCAGCGTTAATGGTGCGAGGCGTCTGGCACCTGCTAAGCGTGACAATTCTGGCAAATCTAGATATATATACACATATAGACACATAGAATATTACAATACTTTTATCATGTACATGTACCATATTTGTAATTTACATAATGTACCTTCTTTTACCTAACTAATATTTAATATTTACTGAAATCTGGTGCTATTATTAGTTTGTGTGTGCATACGCGTGCGTGCGTGTGTGTGTGTGTGTGTGTGTGTGTGTGTGTGTGTGTGCGTGGTGCGTGCGTGCATGCGTGCGTGCGTGCGTGCGTGCGTGCATATATATATATATATATATATATATATATATATATATATATATATATATATATATATATATATATATATATATATATATATATATATTTATATTATATATATATATTCCTGTAGAAATGACTCGTTCGGGTTTATAAAAAAGTAGAAGATACTTACAAAGCATCACGAACAACATCAGCATTGTTCTGGACACACATGACATTCCTAGTAATTTGACCTTCTTCTATACATGGTTCCTCTTCGTCGCTCTCGTTGTAAGGTTCACCTTCCTGTAATATATACACTCCTTGTACTTGACGGAATTTTAGTAGTTTTACGTAACCGTATTTATTAATTTTTAATTTTTAGTTATTTTTGAAAGTAATAGAAGTCAGTCGAAATTTCCCAGTCCGGCGGCGGGCAGAAGCGTCAAAGGTTCGAAACTCTTGGTAGAGCTATCAACAATTAGTAGCTAAGCGTGACTATGAAGACAAATTCTCTCTGAAAAAGAAGAAATGTATATCTAAAGGTGAACTTTTATGGACTTAGACTTTTCTTTACACTGACAATGAAGAAGAAGAAAAAAACGTTGGTAGTTTTGAATTTGAAGTAAATTTATTAAGGGATATAGTTGATTGATTGATCCAAATGTAATATTATTTGTGCATCACCATTACACGGATCTGCCATAAGCGAGGATGACTACCCTCTCTAATGGCGGATCCGTGTTACGGCGGTGTAAGAATATCCATTTAATCATATCATCCCGTGGGAGTCGTAGGAGACAAAAAAAGGAAACAAAACAGGAGATGGGAAGGAGCTTCTTCTTAATAATAGATAAAAATTAAAAGCTGTTGTCAAGCCCTCTGCCAAGCGGGGTAACTAGGACAAATATATATTTGGAAATCCATGGGGGAGGCCTAAGTTCAGCCGTGGGCTTGTAATAAGCAGTAACGGTAACCCTCGCTAATTGATCAAAGCTATGACAGTCAGGTATCGGTACTGGTATATGTTGTGGTACTCCTCTGTGTTGACCTTTGATTAGGAACAACAACACGATTATCTTATTGCGAGGGTATCTGTTATATCTCTTATCTTGAGGGTAGAAAGATTATTAAGTGTATTCTGCGCTTACTATTCTTCCTACACTCGAGCAGTCGGTTTACGCAAGTTAGACGGCGTATTATTCAAAACACCTTTATTCAGCAGTGTATTAAAAAGGGCAGATAAATAAAAACACGAAATGATACCTGCAAATCCGTGTAATTGGTGGTAGGCATGTAGTCCTGATGACGTCGTTCACAAGGTCCCCAAGGCGTTGCGAGCCAGGAGTATGTGGCACAAGCGTGGTTGTTGCAAGTCTCGTTTTGGATAAGTTGGTCTCGAGATGGGCATGGCCATCCGTCTGTAAGAAATTATTAATTATTTTCCTGGTAGGTAAAGAAGAATATTTGATACAAAATATTTCTTTTGAGTCAGGAAGTCGATGCAGGTAGCTCAGGTCCACGCTTTGTGGCATTACTTGTGGGAGATAGACCTCCCAGCAGTGAACCTTTGAATGGCTGTGACATCATAATATATACTCTCGACTATAGTATACTTGACGTTCACCCTTTGTATATAAATAATATGTATTTTATTTTTGATATTATTTCATTTATATTACGCCATATTTCTTTATTGGGTTTCATTAATTATAAATTCTACCGTCAACTGATGTTTCACATCTGTTTTTTATTATTATTACTGTTTTTATAGAATATTGTTGACAAACGACCACACAGTTCACCTGATGGTAAGTGTATGCTGTGACTCATAGAAATTAATCCTCGATTAAGAATCAAAATGCAGATGTGTTCTCACTCTTGAGGACTAATATGTAATGCTTCGTTTCCAGTAAGAAAGGATCTCAGGTTCTCCACAACAATATATGAAACACAGCAGCATTAAGTTGCTTTTCTACGCTGGTATTTGTGACAGCGTGGACCACCCCGGCTACTTGTATATATCTTTACTGTGCCCCGGCCGAACCGACCCATTCGTGTCACAACTAAATATTATATGTAGCTGCACAGTGGCTCTCAGAATGTGATGACTTACTTGGTGAAGCATGGGCGATGATCTGTCTCGTACGCGTCCTAGTGGGACGTGGGCGAGTGGGCGCCGCGCAAGAAGCAGTGCAGGGCGACCAGGCGGACCAGGCCGACACCACGCAGTCGCCCGGGCACGCGATGCGGCACCGCTCGCTGCGAGGCGGGGTGCTACTGCCGCTGCACCAAGCTCGTTGCGCCTCTTTCTGTGATAGTTCGTTTTAAAGAGAGTTGTGAATTATTATTATAAGTAAGTCTGGCACTGCAACATCGAACACATACAAGCACTCTTGAACGTACGCACACATGCACGTACGCATTGACTTCCCTCCCCTTCCCTCTCTACTCGTGTTATGCAACGATTTTTAACTTTGGCGATAGTTTATTTTTAATTTCCCGCTATGAAAATCAATGATTTTCAAAAAATGGGGAAGTTATTGTTTTCACCTCGGTTTTCAAAATCGGGGTCTCATCAGATCTAGATGGTTTGAGGTCCTAGGAAGCTAGTCCGGCTATTTATGCCATGAAGTCTGTAAGTAAGTATGTATGTATGTGTGTGTTTTTGTATGTATGTAAACATGTAAACATCTAATAACTTTGTAATGCAGTGTCTGATTGAAATGCGATTTGCAGTAACTGAGAGAGCCGTGCTGAACTTACATTTTCTGTAAATTTAAACCGAATTATCAAGGTAGATCCTTAGAAAACTTAAAAAAATCGAGATTTTTTAATATATTTAAAGTAGTTTTCTTGGAATTACTCCGACACCCTTGTTATCTTCTCTAATTCTAATAAAAAAATCGGTTTATCCGTTCGAGAGCTATCGTTGTCGAAAGAAATCTCGAAAAGTGTTTTTTCAAAATAACTTGAAAACTGTATGTGATTCAAATTTTTTGTAATAAGCTTTTTTGTTACGCTGGAAAAGTTGCATCACGTAGAAATCGGTTGATTGGTTCGTGAAATATTCAATTTTGAATAAAATAAAAAAAACGTGGTTTTACAAAATTAGAGCTCAAAAACGTCATAATAAGTGGAATTTGGAGCGCTTTGCATTTGATTAGCGGGAAGTTCCAGGGATGGCCTGCAGGGTCAACAAATTTTTTTGGATGAATTAGGACATCTTGGGCGAAGGTTCTAGATTCTATTTCTATAATGGTAGTCAATGTTTGACTTTTTATCATAATTTCTTTTGGAGACCTAAAAAAATCATTCTGTATTTTAGAGTAATAAAATGCTGTACTAATGATATGATATTGAAGTTAAAAGTAGTAAATCTAATGTGATTAAATTATGCCTTCAAATAAATGTGAATTTTATTCTTACGCCATCGTGTCCAACGCATCTCAGTTCTCGCATGCGCCTGCCCGGGCCGCATGTCGTGTGCGGTTGGCTCAATACACAGGGTCCCCAGGGTAGAGCCTTCCACGAAGCACAGCGGGGCATCGTGCACGTACGCTTTTCTTCTAGAGGAGGGCAGTTTGCACCACCACCGGATTCTGCTGACGTCACGCGACGACGACGTACGCTGTATCCTGGGTTTGATGGAAGGTGATGATGAAATGATTTTTAATATGCTAGTTTATTTGGATAAAATCTGCGTAATCGCCAAGCAAAGCTATGTTATACGCATACCAGTAGCAGTAAGTTCTTGGACAGGGTAAAGTGGACATCCGTCGATTGGTTGACACGCGCCCCATTCGCCCCACTCACCGACTTCACAATCACGTGGGCACGGTACCTATTTATTATAAATTTTTAGACATGTGTATATAAAAATTAAAAAAATACGAATTTACAATAAGTTGGTGTTCCTGACAGGATTTGCATCTTAATTCTTATGGTAGATCTTTCTACATTGTTTCGTCAAATGATTGCAGGCATGTCTAAGTCATATTAAAAGGTTCGTAAGTCTCCAAAAAAGAGTAAAACGTTTGGCTCCATGAAATAAATACGTTTGTTTCACTTATTTGTCCTTTTAAGGATTAAATATCAATCTGCAAGTTTCAAATATAGCAAAATATGTTTAGTATACACACCATATAACACCATCAAGTGTTTATTTAATTAGGTATATCAGATTGATATGTCTAATAAAACCCTAGTTTTTTTTTTTTTGATATAGAGGTTATTTTATCAGAAGGCTGTGCATAGAAATGCCTAATAGTTTTTTTATAGATAGATGGTATTAATATTTGTTATGTAAAATATTATGCAAAACAGTCGTCATGCGTAAATGTGTAAAACTCTTGGTACTACTATTGACAGTTTGCGTAGTGGCTGGGGGACATCTATATCCATGTCCAGGAGTTATATACGATTTAATGGGTATAAGGTATGTTAACGAAGCGATAATCATACCTCACAGGGCTGCACAAGTGTAGGCATAGGCGCGTGCGCACATTGAGCGGGATGCAACGCCCTCCCATCAGCGCGGACGCAGGTGACGTCGCGCCGCTGTACGCCACCACCACAGCTGGCTTCCGGTCCCGACTTGTCCAGCTCGTCAGCATCATCATCGTCGTCGTCGTACAATGCGTCACTGTCATCCGCGTCATCGTCGTCGCCATCCGCTAGAAATTGGATGTAGTATTTTTGTAAGATCATTTTACGTCGGACTTCAATCAATCGTAATGAATATTTTTAATTCTGCTATCCCACTTTTTAAGTGTTCCCATATACCTAAATTTCAACTTAATCCAATAGTAACTTAAATTAAGGCTTAATATTTTTTTTAAATTAGGAAATTAATTACAAAAAAAAAACTTTAAAATAGTTATTGTATTTGATTTTGACTTATGCCTATGAATTTAGTACACCTTGCAGTTGCGGCAAACGTGAATTCATCTTTTTTACCATTCAAAACTTCGTAACTACCACATATCATTACGTAAGTGTATCAAGAGTCAAGAGAGCGAAATGAAATAGGAGATGGGGAGCAGCACCTTTCTGACAACTCAAAATAATAAAGAACTGCGATTTGCCACACGTCTGTCAAGTGTGACACCTGTCACAAATATTTCCCCTATGTGAAGCGGTGGATTTGTGATCGACTGTAATAATTTCGTGAATACAAATTCCAATTTCAATAAGTTTTTTTTTAAATATTAGGATAACGTCATCGTGTACTATGTGACACTTACAAGGTGCTGGTGTAGTCGGCTGGGAAATAGCAACTTGGCAGCGACCCCAAGGTCCAGGTGTCCAGTGTGCGCTGGCTTCCAATGCAGCTGGACGCACTTCCTCAACAACATCGCACTCTTTGCCTCCACCTGCGGATATAAAGTCTAATTAAAAATGCCTGTTATCTGTCAACCTGATTTATTAAACAGTCGTAATATGTACCTTACATATAGGTCTAGGAATATGTATGAGTACGTATTTCTTTTTTACCTACTTTAAAAAGGAGGAGGTATTCAATTCGACTGTATGTTTTTTTATGTGTTACTTCAGAACTTTTCTCTGAGTGAACTGATTTTGATGATACATTTTTATCTGAAAGCTGGCATTATATTCTTTTCGTGTGGTTTCATATAAATTTAATCAAGATCTGAGCAGTAGTTTTTGAGATATCTTTAATAATGCATATTTAATTGACTTCGAATATATTGATGATGCTCTGTTTTTAATTATATAGAAGTCGATCGGTCGGTTTACCACTTGTATTTATTTATTTAGGCTTACCAAATAACACATACAAACATTATTAATATACATTTGCAGTTACTAACAGAATTATACAATATATGTATTTAACTTTAAGGTATGAACAATATTTCAACAGAAACTCAAAATAATTTATGAAATTAACAGATACTAAAATATGATACGTACACACCTTTTACCTATTAGTGTGGTCAAATAGCATTGTGTATTTATTTATTTCCCTTTTATCATTGAGAGATGTAGTGTATCTAAGCCATATTGTAGGCTTACGAAACAACTAAGATCTGACAGTTGTATTGTAAATTAATAAAGGTATTCATTTCATTTATGTTTTAGTGGAGAAATCCCCATAAAGTCACTATAAACTACTGCTTAGTTTCAGTGTGAAGTTTAAAGAGATGCAGTGTAATTAAAAGCACTGAGGCATTCGATCTTAGTTCTCAGAGGCGACAACGCATCTGCTGCTTTGTTTGTCTGAAGTTACTCGTATTAGCAGGTATCAAAACCTGCAGTTGCCACTTATTTGTAATATAGAGTTTTGATGTACCTTGAGCTAATCGCCGTAATCTCCTGGTGCGAACTAGGGCACCATCCGAGCGTGGTCGCCATGGCAACCATTCAGCCAGGGAACAGTCTTCGCGCATCACACACACCCGCGTTGTACCAACGTGAGAAATAGCCGTTCCACAGTACCTAGTAAAAAGTAATATCATTAGTTACAATATGTGACATTTTGAGAACCGCGTGGTTAAAAAGTTAAAACGTCTAGGTAATAGGTTGGAAATCTTGTGTAGGTAATCTCTTTGTATATCAATAGTGAATACCACTTCAGTTACTTGGACACGTTGAATAATAATTACGGCAGGAGTGACAAAGCCAGATTTATGCTGCAGTAGTGAGTGGCCAAAATGGCAAGAGTGGTTTTAAAACGACATTTGAACGAGCCCAATGATCAAACCGACTGTGTAAAAAAATTACTGGAAATATCATCAAACTGTATCAACTGTATCAAATCATAAAACTGTCATAAAATCGTAGTATTCAATTGTAAAAAATTTATAAAGTTAACCATAATGATTTAAATTAATATTTTCTGGTAGTTTAAAAATTTAATACAAAATAACTCACATAGCCTCAACGAATTGTCCATCCTTCCCTCGGCACTGGACTTGACGGCGTTGTAGTCCGAGGTGAGGTGTATGCACCAAAGAATCTTCTTCGACACGTGTATTGTACCTGTAAGAAGTTATAACCTCAAAATAATAGCCTATACGCACTGTTAGGCACAGTTCACAGGTCCCTTCTCTTTTCTCAGATGCTTGTAATTACGGAAAGAAGAACCTGCCACGCTAACTCAATGCGTGTTGCATGAATTCAAATGTCAACTTTAATTTCCCAGGCTGCAGGTTCCATCACGTCTCCTTCATTATCGAGATCTAGGTAAATCATCACTACAAATTGTGATGGCGTCAACCGGGATCGAGTTCGAATTACAGCCTATTATATATATAGTTCTGAACGTTGGCCTCCGCCACACATTTTCTTATAAAGGGCTACTTTGTTATAGTAGCCACGTTTAGCAGGCGTGCTGGCAACTGAAGTTTATTTTTAAGTAAGTTTCTGTTATTAGAAAGAGGCTGATGCCCATCCTGGTTTGTTTCCCTTTGTTGCCTCTTACGTCACGGGACGATATTGGATAGTGCCACTACACGGCCGTAACTTTATTTTTACTTTCTTATACGTAAATTAATATTTTTTTATTTTAGCTCAATGGATACTACTAAGAGGATGCAGACTTAGAATAAATAGAGGACAATAGTGTGCAAGGGAGAAGAAAATTCCTTATGGCAAAAATGCAAGATAGAAAAGGATAGCAAATCTTATGACTGTAACATAGACGCTCTGTATTTTGAATGACAGGTCGGCACGCGACCGCGGCGTACGCGCACTTACGAAGACGTGAGTTTGAATCCAACATTCGCCTACTTAGCGTTAGCTATTATATTAGTAAAGTTAATAGATAGCAATGTTAGTATTTAAAAAAAAATATATAAATGATAAAACTTTATTATATAATTATTCCTACCTGTCAACCGAGCGATCACGTTCTCCTTTCAAATCAGTCGTACATTCCGTCCATCGTCCCACGAACACAGAGTATTCAGCTTCGTTAATGTCCACTCCTGTAACGAATAAAGAACGCCTGAGTAATGTTGACAAAAGGGAAAAGAACATAGCTAATGGTCACTGTAGCCCATGGATACCACAGTAATTAAGATGCATAATAAGTCCTTGTGCTTATAGTGCCCTGACGGGGCAGGTCCTGGTGTACCTCTGATAATATCGAATTACAGTTTAGATTTTTGGGAAAGAATTTGTCCTGCATTGTTTATAACTTGCACGTGGACAAATATCTAAATCCCCCCTCTCGCTATAATGTCCGCAGGCCGAGAAACTCTCTCTCGGACCCGCCTAATAAACTGTCAAACGACCTGAACTATCTCCTGGCGGCTCAGGCCAACTCTAATTAAATTAAATTATTGTATTAACTAACATTAATTTGCCTTCGTAGGCACTCCCTCAGCGGCTCGTAGCCGTCTGCGCCCTCTTTTCCCAAAAGAGGGTCGCTCATGATAAGGCATAATACAGCTTAATCAGCCGGCTGCCTGTCCCCAAAGGCGGTTTTTAGAGGGTATCATTTAGGGTCCCCGGTAGGACAGTGAGCCCCTCATAACCACGACAGACCGGCTATCGTGGTATGCGTAATGCATTTTCCGCCTCCCTACGTATAGGGTAGCCCTTTAATTGCTTCGGGCGCAAAAAAAATATCTAAATACGAAACAGATATTAACGAATGTTTCTTTTGAACGGGGATCAACCAGTTTAACCAAATGTTTAGCCACTGCGCTACCAGGCTATCAATTTCTGGTCAACTAGAGATATCTAAAGTAAAGGCAAAGTCAAATTTGTTTTTCTTGTGCGAAGAAGCGGCTAGAAATTCACAAGTAGGCTATTTTTCTTTCTGCCTGCCTGCTAAGCGTTGCAACCAGTTGCAAGTATGGAAAATATCTTCCTTGTGGAGGAGATATGAGGAAGTCTATTTCAGTAGTGGACTTTGGTAGGCTGAAATAACGATGATGCTTAACTTTTAAAAAAATTTTTTTAAAGGTCTTATATTTATATATAAAGTATTAGAGTAAGATATCATATTGGTAAATCACTTTTGTTTTCTACTCGTCTTGGCTTTATTAATAAAGATATTTATTTTCGACGTAACCTTAAAGAAAGGGAAAATATATTGGAGTGTTCATACGAAAGTAACTTTAATACACCAGTATATTAGAGAGAACGTCATCATTTGTATTCGTCCGTGTAAGTGTAGCCTGGGTTTCATCCGCCACGAGCTCATGAGACATCATTTGCATTGAGAAAGACGTAATGGTTCTAAGAGACGCCGCGATATATCTGTCTAAGCTCTTTGAGATTGAGAGTAATGTGTGTTACGTTTTAGTGTGTTTAAGGCTTTTTTTTGCCAGAAGATAAAATGTTGGGAATTATGATAAAAAGTATAAATTGCTGTACATCTTAAAAAAAGTAATTTGGGGAAAATTCCTACGCGTACACTCTTACGTTTACTTTTACGTTGATATACATAGAATTATATAGCAAATTGATACCTAATTTATAAATAAAGACTCATGCTAACGTTGGTAAAAAAATACTTAGTTGAGTTATTAACCGTTGCGTTTTTATTTTATTTTTAAGAATAAGGGTGACAAACGAGCACATATCCCACCTGATGGTAAGTGGATGCTGTGGCTCATAGACAATTACATTTATTTCAATTAAGAATTATTACTTGTCACCCCTGAGGACTAATAAGAAATGCCTTCTTTCCAGTAAAAAACTACACTCACCATACGAAACATGGCAGCATTAAGCTATTTGCTATTTTACGCTGGTATTCTGTGAGAGCGTGATTTTTCCCTGGCCGAGCCGACCCATTCGTGCTATAGCCATAATATAGCAGCAGTGGCAGTGGCTTCATTACGTTAAAAACGTTTTGTTTATGACTGAAGAAAACGTCTAATTTAAAACTGCGCGCACCGCCCTACTTTGTATTTTTGGTAGATTTTATGACTTTTATCATGTCAATATAGTAAAAATGCTTAAACCTAATAACAGAAAGGGCGCGCCTTAAGTTTAACAATTTAAGAAGTTATCATTGTATGCAGACACTGCATCGAATTCATCAGAGCGGGAAAGTCAATCTAAATGTCTAAGATCGAAAACCCAAATCTATGACGAAAAATGGCGACTTCACTGCGAGAATCCTGGTGTTATGTGTAGTTGTTTTATGATATGATAAATTTAATAAGATAATATGTTAATATCAGAAGCAATATGTTACATAGCATACTTTTGGACGGTACAGACCGTTGATGGGAAAGAGCGTCTAAGTGTTTTCCATGGATTTTTTGATGCCGCCACCACACGGAAAGTCACGAGTTTCTTTTCAAGTTATGAAGAAAAAAGAAATGATAAAGGACGACGCTCGCACTAGCGAGTATACTAATACAGCTTGAAAACTATGGTAATTCAGTAAAGTACTACTACCAACTCAAACACCACTGAAATTGTTAATCTAAACAGCTGCTCGATATGGTAGGTTGTTACTATAGAAAATACCAAAAAGATCTCATGACGTTAAATATACAACATGTAACATAATTAACGCACTTTGAGAAAGTAGTTTGTTCAGAATCGTTTACTGAATCGATTCCTATCATTTTTAATATAGGTAATTTTTTATCCTAAAAATAATTAAAACTACGTAAATTACACTAAATCTGTGTAGTCAAAACAAACTGAAATGTACCGTAACTTAAGGCAATAAGACTTTTAAGAGTGCAGTTTTATTTGTATTATTACTAATTCTGTCATTCAATAAAAATGAAGAAAAATGAACTTTATTTCAAGCACGTTAAAGTCTTTGCGTTCGCGGATTTGTACTGTGACCACAACATTCTTCCGGACGTAGTATAACTAATTTGATAAATAATCAGTGCATAAAAATGTTTAACTAAAAATTCAGTGTATGTATTATGATTATAACATAATATACTAATTGGGGTGTCTTAATTGTGCGTTAATTAGGTTACATATTCTATAGTGATACAACCATCTAGTTTACCTCAGACGGAAAATACCCGGCCCGGCAACACGTAGCAGCGCTAAAGGCGGGACACGTGTGCATTTGCGGTTGCCATTGTGCTTGTCAAGTGTGATGATTAGACAAATTTACTTTAAAACTAGAGAGGCTTATGTAATAGTGATAACAAACCCTACAGAATTGAGGTACGGTCTAGCGGTGGCGCGCGAGTAGGCTGCAACTTTAATTTATTTCTCTTCTTTCTTCTTTACAGTCTTTTAAAAGTCCACTGTTGAATTGTACCTATGTCCACTGTAGCTTTCCGCACTCCTTTCACATATAAACTTTAATTATGTGAAGTCTCGCACTCCTCCGTATATTAAGATAGGGGTACGAAATATCCTTTATAAAGATACTAGTAATCGAATACCAAGTCCTAAAAAATATGCAACAATTCATATTTTTCGGGACTAAGTCGTAAGTTGTTTCACAATTCTGAATGACCCATGTGGTCCCGAGTATCTGAAATCCAAATTTCAATACCTGGGAGATTCTCATAATTGTTCTCTCTGTTGTTCGGCTAATCTTAATCAATCATCTTGCTCACTCACTTACACCGTACTGGTTACTTATCTCACTCTTTCACCCTCACAGCCCATAGACTTTGGAACGACATTCTTTTTGACATTAAAAAGCTCCTAACAAGTTCGCTCCTAACAATCTAACACAGTTCTTATTTTCATATATATTTCACTTATATATAAATATAAATATATATATATATATATATATATACATATATACGTGTGTTTGTATGTATCGTATGTTACATACATAGTATAAGTATATATTTATATTTGTGCATGCTGCAGCTATTTATTTATTTATGCAAAGCATAAATAAATAAATAGCTGCAACATGGCTCTACCAGATATATATCAGATCATATAATATATATATATATATATATATATATATATATGTATATATATATATATATTAAAATAGATCTGACAACGGATTAGTAAGCTGAAGTGGCAATGGGCCTGCCATATAGCTCGAAGAACCGACAACCGTTGGGGAAAAAAGGTTCTCGAGTGGCAGCCTCGTACCGGTAGGCGAAGTGTAGGGCGACCCCCCAGTAGATAGTGTGACGACCTGGAAGTCGATGGATGCAGGTGGCTCAGGACCGTACTTTGTGGCATACCTTGGGGGAGGCCTATGTTCAGCAGTGGACTTGTGAAGAGCTGTAATGATGATGATGATGAGATCTGACAAATCAAAATATATTTTTATTATAATTATAAGACAAGATATTCTTATATTTTGTACGTTAAAACAGTGAGGTAAAATGATGTGCGCCTAACGCTTACAGTAAATAAATTTCCTCGTCTGTGCGAGAATATCAAATTAGTTGTGGAGATTGCCTTACTTGTGGATCAAACATTGTAATTACATAGGAGCGGCTCAGAGCTGAGAATTTTGACTGTGTCGAGTATAATATAAAAAGTCGGTGAAGTGCAAACTATTCTTGGCCATTGATATTTTTTGAAACTATTTTTCAAGTTAGTATTATTTGATCATGATTATAATCAATCATATTTGGTTATAAAGAAGGAAGTTGAGTTCCCCTATTCAGGAAAAATTCTTTGCCTTTTTCCACAAATGGAACGCTTCAAAGCCTCAAAGAGCTTTTAACCGACTTTTACTGGAAATGTTCATTGTAGTAGGTTTATTTGTTCATTATTTATTTACTTTAGTATTTTATTACTACTGTACTGTATGCCACGTAGCAAAGCAAAAAAACTTAAGCAGGTGCCATAAATTATATACATTTAAGTTGATGTAATTCTGACATAAGGTGCTAGAACTTATAAATGGTTTTTTACCGCTTTGCACCGACTATAACTCGTTAATATTTAAATGTCTAGTACGCCACTACTTTGAACAACTCCCAACAATTAAACTAGATAAGTCGCAAGTCTACTTAGCGTGCTCTGTAACTCGGCAGCCCAGCAAACTTTCAGGGTG